CAGCAACATCATCATCTCGCCTCCTCCCCCTCCTCCTCCGCATCCTTATCATCATCACCACCATCACCACCATCACCATGTCCCCTCATCGTCATTATCATCGTCCTCATCATCGCCATCACCATGTTCGCTCATTATCCTCGTCCTCTGCGTTATCGTTAACATCACCATCATCGTCATCATCATCATCATCCTTCTCCGGCCCCGCCCCGTCGTCATCATCAGCATCATCACCAGCATCATCACCACCATCCTAGTCATCGTCGCCAGTATCATCACCATCATCATTATCATCCCTCCTCCTCTCCCTCCTCCACCTCCTCATCTTCGCTCCCCAGGTCAGGACGGGGGGGTGGAGGAGGGAGATTTAGTTTCGAGGAGGGGGCCCGCACACTGAACACCAATAAGAAACCTCTACAACGAAACTGAATCCGAAAACCGTTCAAATAAACACACATAAAGACATCCATACAAGCAAAACCATTAACGAACCCGTGCAACCACACACAATAAGAAACCCATACGCTCAAACACAATACGAAACCCATACAGACAAAAGCAAAGCGAAACCGTCTTGAGTCCACGAGCCCTGTGAGGGTACCACAAAAGCAGAAACACCAATTGGTGAGGGTACCCAAAAACCCAAACAGCAATGGCGTTCGTGTCTTCGGGCTTCATCTGGGCCCCTCCATCACCGATCCTCACAGTCAGAAGCAATACGAAACCCATACAACCAAGATAATGCGAAACCCGTACAACCAAGCACAATCAGAGATCCATACACTCAGAAACAATACGAAACTCAGACACTCACAAACTACAGGTCATCCGTACGCTCAAAATCAAGAAACCGTCTTGGGCCCGCGAACCCTGAGAGGGTAAGAAAACAAGAAACACTCAGACACAACACGATGACTTGTTAGGGTCCAAAATATCAAACAGTCAATAGTTGTCTCTTCAGGCTGCGTGGGCATATCTGGGCGGGAGGGGCCCAGATGAAGTCCGAAGGCACGACGCCATTGATTTTTGTTGGTATCCTCGCACTTTTTTTGATTGTAGTGTTTTTTGTGGGCTTTTGTGGTAACCCTCACAGGGTTCGTGGTCCCAATACGTTTTCTTGCTATTTTTGATCGTATGGGTTTCTGGTTGTTTTTGATCGTATGGGTTTCTTTTTGTTTTTGAGTGTAGGGATCTCTTATTGTTTTGAATGTATGGATTTCGTGTTGTTTTTGATTATGTGGATTTCTTACCGTTTTTGATTGCATGGGCTTCTTTTTTTTGTTTGCGTGCATTTCTTTTTGTGTTTGATTGTATGGATCTGCTATTGCTTTTTAGTTTACGGATGTCTTATTGTTCGGATTGTGCGGAGGAGAAGGGAGATGCGGAGGAGGATGGAGACGAGACGAAGCATGAGGAGGGTAAGGAAACGTGCGATGATGGTGATGATGATGGTGGTGGTGATAATGATGAAGCTGCTGGTGATGGTGATGATGGCGGTGATGATGATGGTGATGCTTATGATGATGCTGATGATGCTGCTGATTCTGATGATGATGAGGCTGCTGATGATGATACTGATGCATGCTGATGCTGATGCCGATCATGATGATGCTGATGCTGGTGATGAGGATGATGCTGTTGCTGCTGATGATGATGTTGCTGCTGATGATGATACTAATGTTGACGATTATGATGATGCAGATACCGGTGATGATGTTGATGCTGCTGATGATGATGACGATCATGATGATGATGCTGATGATGAGGAGGATGATGTTGATGCTGATGTTGATGATGATGCTGATGATGATGATGCTGATGATGCTGATGGTGATGGTGATGGGTGATGATGATGCTGATGCTGCTGCTGCTGATGATGATGATGATGATGCTGATTATGATGATGCTGATGATGATGATGATGCTGCTGATGCTGCTGCTGCTGCTGATGATGATGATGATGATGAGGGTGGTGGTGGTGGTGGTGGCGGCTGTGGTGGTGGTGGTGGTGATGATGATGATGATGATGATGAAGATGATGATGATGATGATGATGATGATGATGATGATGATGATGATGATGATGATGATGATGATGATGATGATGATGATGATGATGATGGGAAACACCTCACGCAACATAGTTTCAAATGCCACCCTCACGAAGGGAGGGATGGGCGGGGCGATTTTCGAATCCAAGGGGAGGGGTGCAAACCCTCCCCCCGCCCTTTCAAAAGTTGGGGGGTCCAGGGCGACGGATCGGGAAAAGGAGGGGGGGAAGGGGGGTTTCTGGGACAATGGACTGGGGAAGGGGGGGAGGGGGAGGTGTCCTGGCCCCACCTCTTTGGGGCATCCAGCGGCGCGCCCTCCCATATTGGGCCATCTTGTTTACTTCTGAGGCATTCTTGGGGCCATCTTGGGCGGAAACGGCCTTTCCCTCCCACCTTTTCTGGTTCCTCCGCGTGGCCGAAGGGATGGTTGACACGATTCAACCTCGGTGCGCCAACAACCTTTCTTACAAGCAACAGGGGGCGGCGGATCGAAGACGCTTGCGGCGACCCACCGCCGCCTCCTGCCTTTTGGAAGCGAAGCGCCTGTGTGGCCGAACATTGCGGCCACAGCTCGGCCGAGCTATCGGGCTCTATGTTCCCCCATCCGTTGTGGGAACCCTTTGGGGAACACGTGGGGGAGAAATGAGAAGAAGAAGAAGAAGAAAAAGAAAAAGAGGAGGAAGGGAGGACAAGGAAGAGGATGATGAGGAGGATGATGAGGAGGAGGAAGAGGCCTCTTGGGAGCCTCTTGGGGCACTCTTGAGGCCTCCTGGGAGCTTCCTGGGGGCTTCTTGGAGGCCTCTTGGGGGTGTCCTTGGGCCTCTTCGGGGCCTTTGGGGCTCTTTAGAAGGCTTTTTGGCCATCTGAGGGCGTTCCTGTCCCGTCTAATGTCGTCGGAAGCCGTCTTGACTGGCCACCTGAGAAGTTCCTGGGGGTCCTTACAGTGGAGACCAATGCCAAAAAACACCCAGCTCGCCTCCAGGGTGCCCTGGGTTTCTTGGGCTTCGAGGGTTTTGCTGTGGAAGGCGCGACGCTCCCACACCAAAAATCCGTGGACGTCCTGGGGTCTCAGGGTTGGGTTTCTTGTGGTCGCGCCCCCAATGTATGGGGAAGGGGGACGGGGAGCTGACGGGAGACCTCTTTCAGTGGTTTTGCTGTGGAAGGCGCGACGTGGCCAGACCAAAAATCTAGATGGACGTCCTGGCGTCTCAGGGTTGGGTTTCTTGTGGAAGGCTCTGTGTGGTCGGGCCCCCACTGTATGGGGAGGGGGAACCGACGGGAGACCTGATGGGCGTGTTTACCACCACCACCACCACCAGCATCATGAGTTGGAGGGGGGCAGGAGGTGGAGGAAGAGGAGGAGGAAGAGGAGGAGGAGGAGGAGGAGGAGGAGGAGGAGGAGGAGGAGGAGGAGGAGGACCCCCTCCCCCTCTTACTCATGGTGGTGGCGGAGGAAAACAGGCCCACCGAGACCTCTCTCATGGGTCCTTCCCTGGATGGCCGCCGGCCCGAGCGGCGGAGCTCCACTTGGGAATCGGGAACCTTTTAAAACAAAAACAGAAGCGCGTTCGGAGTCCAGCACGCCGTGCGCCCCCTGTGTGTGGGGGGGGGGGCGGCGGCTCCACGTGGGCCCCCTCGGCACAGCCCGCCACCGCTCCCGTGGCTGCGTCGCGGTCAAATGGGCCTCTTAGAAGCCTCCTGTGGGCTCTCGGGTGGCTTCGTGGGCCTCTGGGGGGCCTCTTGGGGGCTCCTTCAGGGCCTCCGGAGGGCCTTTTCGGGCGCCTGCCTGTTCGGGGGGGGGGGGCGGCGGCTCCAGGGACCTTCTCGGCCCAGCCCGCCACCGTGGCTGCGTCGTGGTCAACACAGTCAAAATCTATATCAAGGACGCGTGGTAAGGACGCAATGCCCTTGGAAGCCGAAGTTGGGATGTTCTGGGCGGCGGGCGGCCGTAACCCCGGGGACGCAGAGGCAGAGGCAGGCAGGGACCCAAGGGTATCCTCGAGAAAGGCGCGCGTCCTTACTATGGATTTTGACCGTAGGCCTCTTAGAAGCCTCTTGTGGGCTCTTGGGCGGGTTTGTGGGCCTCTTGGGGGCCTCTTGGGGGCTCCTTCAGGGCCTCTTGGGGGCCTCTTTGGGCGCCTGCTGAGGAACGGGCTTGATCGTGTTCCCCCTCTCGGGCCCCTCTTGGGGCCATCTTGGGGGCCTCTTGGGCACTCGTGGGGGCTCTCTTGAGGCGATCTTGGGGGCCTCTTGGGCCGTCTTGATTTTTAAGGCTGGAATGGCGAGCATGGGAACGGTTTACAAACGCCAGAGTTTTCCACGGATCTTGGCCTCCCCCGCCCGAAGAGATACGCCACAGGGCTTCGGGACGGGCCTTGGTATCATCACAGGCTATGTTGGACGTGTGCAGGCAGAGCAACGCTCCCGAGGCCGCCACTGCAGACGTCGTGAGAGAAGGCCAGGCGCGCCCGGGAGCCACGGAGCGGCCAGCCATTCTGGGAATCGGGGGTCATCTGGTCTGGGGTCTGTGCCCCTCCCTCAAGGGAGCGTTCACAGCGCTCAGTGCAGACAACCTGGAGGGACCCGAGGAACACCCTACTGCAGTGCCTGCTTGCCAGTCCGAAGCATGTCCCTATCCCTATGCTTGGCATCGCCTTGTCTCGATGCCGATCTCAGGGATCCCCTCGGCTTCCGAGGGCGCACCCCTGAGGTTGCCATCGCCAGGGGGCTTGTCAATCCTAGGGATGGGGATACTCAGCCCCCCGACGTTATGATTTTTTCATTGCGTCGGCCCTTCGAGGTCTCGACCTATTCCCTGGGACCGGTTTTTAATCCCGAGTCGTGTTTTGACGGTCCCGAGGCCCAGTAAGGGCCCCCAGAGGCCGATAATGGCGAATCACCTCCCGTCGTGCTTTCTTCATTGCTCGAGGGGGTCTGGGTAGCTTCGAGGCTGGTACCCTGCGGCGCTGTGGCGGATTCTACCGGGCACACCACGCAGTGGCTTCCAGGGCCTTTACTGGGGCCCGCCAGGCGCGCTGCTGCTGCTCCTCCTCCTCCTCCTCCTCCTCGTCCTCGTCGTCCTCCTCGTCCTCCTCCTCCTCCTTCTCCTCCTCCTCCTCCTCCTTCTCCTCTTGCTCCTCCTCCTCCTCCTCCTTCTCCTCTTGCTCCTCCTCCTCCTCCTCCTCCTCCTCCTCCTCCTCCTCCTCCTCCTCCTCCTCCCCTCCTCCTCCCCCTCCTCCTCCTCCTCCTCCTCCTCCTCCGCCTCCTCCTTTCCCCCCTCCTCCTCCTCCTCCTCCTCCTCCTCCGCCGCCGCCGCCGCCGCCGCCGCCGCCGCCGCCGCCGCCGCCGCCGCCGCCTCCGCCCCCCCCTCTTCCTCCTCCGCCTTCTCCTCCTCCTCTCCTCCTCCTCCTCCACGTCCTCCTCCTCTCCTCGTCCTCCTCCTCCTCCTCCGCCTCCTCCTCCTCCTCCTCCTCCTCCTCGTCCTCCTCCTCCTCCTTCTCCCCCTCCTCTCCTGCCCTACAGGCGCCCCTCGTGCCCCTGCTCGGCGGGGCGGCGGCCGCCGCCGCCGCGGCCGCCGGGGCCGCGACGAGCGGAGCTCTGGGCATCGGCGAGGCCGCGATGGCCGGCGGCACCGCCGTGGCCGCCTGCGGGGCCGCGGGCGTGGTGGCGTCGCAGGGCGAGGTCCCCAGATCCCTCGAGCCCCTCGGTTTTCCGCTATGTTCGGCCTCTGGGGGCCCTTGCCGGGCCTCGGGACCGTCAAAAACAACTCGGGATGAAGAACTGGTCCAGGGAAACATGTCGAGACCTCGGGGGGTCGACGTCATGCAAAAATCATGACGTCGGGGGTCTGGGTCCGGGTTCGACCTGAACGGTGTTTGGACGATCTCGTGAGCCGTTTCGTTTCGATCTCGTTGTGCAGCAAGGGCGGACTGAAGACAATGCGGGGGACATCGATCACAAAGCGAAAACGAGAAACACTGTTCAGGGCGATCCCTGGGCGAGGTTCTCACCCTGTTGCCAGTCATCTCGAAGATCCTTAGGACGCGTGCTAGCCCAGTGTGTCCAGGCCTCCCAGTTGGGGTCGGGGTAGTTGTTGTCGGAGGATCGCGCCGCATCGCCCATGCATCGCCGTGGCGACTCGATGCGGAACCCGATTTTCTCCACGCCGATGGCGCCGATGCATCACCAGCGTCGCCGATACATCGCCGATGCATCGGCGATGCATCGTCGATGCGGCGCACTCCTATGACGACGCCATCTACTCGGAGCCCATGTAAGAATCCAGTGTGTGTGTGTGTGTGCCACCCAGCTTAGCTTCGCCGATCGCACGCAGCCCGTGTTGGCGCTCACTGCACCGCCCGCGTCGTGTGGAGCGGCCTCGGTGGGCGAGCACGTTGGCGCTGACACACGTTCTGGGGGTCATCGATCATCGACCAGATGAACCACGACAGCAGAACCACAACGAAGCTGGACCTCAGCCCCCTGTCGGGCTGCTGGGAGCTGCGCAGCGGAAGTGCCGTCGCCGCCGGGTCGGAGGTGACCATCAGCTACGGGAAGAAGAGCAACGACACGTTGCTGTTGCAGCACGGCTTCGTGGAGGAGGACAACCCGCACGAGGAGATTCTCCTCCCGATGCCTGGAGCTTACTGGATGAAGAACGAGGCGAAGGGAGTAAAGTCCATGCGGGGCAAGGACGGCAAGGCGATGGATGTTAAGTTTTCTCGCAAAGGCAAGGCGATGCCCATGGAAGAGGGCAAGTTCAGGGTGAAGGAGAGCCTGTGGGACTGGATCGTGGAGTGGCAGAATGGCCCTCCACCATCGTGGACCGATGATCCCAGAACCTTCGGCCGAGTGTGCATCGAGACGCTCGACGGGGAGTTGGCGCAGAGGTTCCAGCAGAGCGCCGACGGCGCCATCCTGGAGAGCCTGGAGTCGCGGGCAACGGCGGAGCTTCTGCTGCAGTGGCGGCGCGAGAAGCGCCGCCTCCTCGGGGAGGCCATCGCGAAGTACGCGAAGTACAGGGACCTGGAGGCCGAGGTAGACGACGAGACCAGGCGGAACCCGCTCCGACCCGACCGATCCGATTCGACATCGAGCCTGGCTGGCCTGATGCGATTCGGGTCCGCCGTCCCAGCGATCCGATGCGGCTCGATGTCTGCACGAGCGCCTACAGTCGGGGCGCTGAACAAGGAACCCTTTTCGTTGGGGAGGGGCTCCGTGTTCCTTGATTGTTTCGCAGCTTGCCTTAGGTTGTCCTTAGGTCTTCGATGGGGAATCGAAGCTTAACTTATGGAAAAAAGGGGCCTCGTTCCTTATTTAGGGTTCCTTGGGTCAACGCCCCGACTGTATGAGCATCTTGCGCGCAGCCGTTCCGATTCGCTTCCGGCTCCGTGGCGCTGCGGCCCGATGCGACGCACTTTCCGACCCGATTTTCCGATTCGGTGCTGGCTGATCCTGCCAGGCGGCTTGGGGACGAGTTCGAGCTCTTGGAGGACTGAATAAGAAACGAAGATAACAATAGTATTACTATTAGCAGTAACAGAACTAATAATAGGAATAGGAATAGCAGTCGCAGTACTAATGCGAATGCTAACACACATATTAAAAACAATGAGAAGACGAATGCTAATACTAGTACTAATAGGAAGCATCATAATAACCGAAACTCGTAATAGCAATAATACTGATAAGGCGAATCATATTTTCTATGCGGGTAATACTAGTACTACTAAGAAGACAAAGACGAATACAAATTATTGTAATCCTAATCAGAAGAAGCATGGGCACAAACACAAGTTTTCGGAGGTCCGCGCGCATCTCTTTGGTGCGCGAAGCGCGCCAGGGTTGGCGGCGGCGCCGGAGGCGCCGCCAGGACGGTCCAGCGCCGATCCGAGAAATCTGTGCGAACCTCGGAGAGTTTCAGTTTGCGTAGTTTTTTTGTGCCTTTCCTCCAAGGAGTATCCGTCCGATGCCTTCCTCGGCAAGTGAGCAGGGTCGCGGTGCACCGCCCCAGCGCGGCGTCCTGGCTGACCTGATACAACCCCGTGCCAGGACGCAGCACGTACAGTGGAGACCCATGCTAAGAAACATCCTGCTTGCCTTCAGGGTGCCCTGGGTTTCTTGGGTTTCGATGGTCTTGCTATGGAAAGCGTGACGTTCCCACACCAAAAATCAATGGACGTCCTGGGGTCTCAGGGTTGGGTTTCTTGTGGAAGGTTTCTTCTTGTGGTCGAGCCCCTACTGTAATCACCATGTTCGAACCGCCCACGTCAAAACACCTTGCGTGTCGATGCCGCGCGCGTTGGCCTGCTCTTTGGCGGGCGCGCGTGGGCGGGACTCATGCCTGCATGCACGCCTCGCAGCCCCTTGACTCCTTGGGCCGAGACCCCACTGCTACAGGACGGCCTTGCGCGGATGCCCTCTGCGAAGCGCATCCACATGATAGCGTATCCAAGTATCCATAAGTGTTCAGACCGCCAGGGCACGGACGTGGATGCGCTCGCAGCTCGTGCGAGAGCACCTCGCGACGGCTGGGCGGGCAGCCCGCCTCGCAACGACTCGCCGCTGCGGGGCGCCGGCCGCCGGCCGCGAGCCGCGCTGCGGTGACAGAGAGAGCTCGTGCAGTGCTGTTTTTTCAAGGAGGCGGCCGTCTTGCGCTCGATCCCGCCCGCGTTCGCCAGGCACGCCCCCTTCTCCTCCTCCATCTCCTCCTCCTCTTCCTCCTCCTCCTCCTCCTACCCGCTTCCCCCTACCTTCCTCCTCCACTCCGCCTCCTCCTCCGCCTGCTCCTGCGGCTCCTCCTCCCTCCCTCGCTCGCTCGCTCCTTTCCCCCCCCTCCTGCTCCTTCTGTTGCTGCTGCTCCGTGCTACTGCTGCTGCTGCTCCTGCTGAGACGTTGAGACACCGACGGCAATGGTGTTCTCCGAACGCTGCCGCTTCCCCCAAGGAGGCCCGGTCGGGCCCCCTTGGGGGAGTAGACCAAAACAGAATATTTTGGGCCGAGGCCCCGCAGACAAGGAGGGAGAGGAGGGGACACATCATCATCATCATCATCATCATCATCATCATCATCATCATCATCATCATCATCATCATCATCATCATCATCATCATCATCATCATCATCATCATCATCATCCACATCGTCATCGCCATCGTCACCATCACCGTCATCGTCATCGTCATTGTCACCATCACCATCACCATCACCATCACCATCACCATCACCATCACCATCACCATCACCATCACCATCACCCTCATCATCACCATCACCATCACCATCACCATCACCATCACCATCACCATCACCATCACCATCACCATCACCATCACCATCACCATCACCATCACCATGACCATCGTCACCACCCACCACCACCACCACCACCATCATCAGCATCATCATCAGCATCATCATCATCATCATCATCATCATCATCATCATCATCATCATCATCGACGTCGTCGTCGTCGTCGTCATCATCATCATCATCGCCTCATGATCTCAGGAGGGAGGAAGGGTGATAGATAACGTGGCAGTGTGGCAGCGTGGGCACCGCGTGGCGCGGTGGGTGCCCCGTGAGGGGCCCACTGTGGATCTCCCCTCTCTCGGGTCGCGTGGCCTGAGCAGGCCACCGCCCCAGAGGGTGCCCAGGGCGCCTCCCCGCATGGGGTGCCCTGTGTGTCAGAGGATGGGGGGGGGAGGTGGCGGGGTGCTGCAGGCAGGCCGCGGCAGGCCGTGCTGAGGAGTGCGGCAGTCTGCGGCAGGCCGCGGCAGGCCTTGCCGGGCGGCGGCGGCGGAAGTATAGAAGCAAAAGGGCAGGGAGGTTGGAGAGGCAGACGCGCGAGTGGAGAGGAGGCCGAGGTGGTTGAGAAAGGGTTGCGACGGTTGAGAGTGGCGTGCGGTGGCACGGCCATGCCGCGGGGCCCCTCTGGGTGCCGCTTGCTGTGGTGGGGCGGGCGCGAGGGCCTCTCCCTCTGCTCAAAATGGAAGCCCTCACGGGCGTCCCGGAGGCCGGCTGCGGGATCCCTCGCCTGCGCGCAGGCGTACAGTCAGAAGGCCTAATAAGGACTTTCGACTTTGCTCAGGGTGCCCCTGCGTCCTTGCTCTTGCTTGCTCTTGCGTCCTTGGGGTTCCGTCCGCCGCACCAGAAATCCCAACTTCGGCTTCCAAGGGTCTTGCGTCCTTACCGCGCGTCCTTATTAGGGTTTTTGATTGTAGGGCTCCCAGCAAGGCGGCCTCTGGACCGCCCTGGGGGTTTCCACCGAGCGTGAGGGAGGCTTGTGCCCTCCCCTCTTGGCGGCGTGGCGGCGGCGCTGGCCACACTCTCCAAAGGTGGATGGCAGAAGGGCCTCACCTCCTGCGCAAAGGAAGCCCCCCCCCCCAAGCAGCCATCATCCCCGTGACTGGCACCCTCTCCCGCCGAGGCAGGCGCAGGGTACCCAGACCACGAGAGTGGTGGCTGCTTGCGGGGTTTCCCCCGCGCTTGGAGGTGGTTTCTGCCATCCGCGGCGGTGGCCTGCGCGGTGAAAGTTGGAAGTTCGTGTTGCTGCGGCAGGCGTTCTGTTGTAGCAGGCGGTCGAGGACCGCAACTGCTGAAGATGCAAGGAGGATCCGCTGACGGCTTATTGTAGCTGGTGCCGCGGCCGCCTTGGCCCTTGCTGGGAGGGCCGTCGGTGAGCTCCCCTTCTACCCTCCACTAGATAGCCCCACCCATTCCCCAGCACAAGAGGAGGGTGTACAGGAGGTTATTTTGGTACGGTGGGGGGAAATGGGGCTGCGAGCATGCGAGCCAGGAGGAGGGGAAGGTTGGAGGTTGGAGGAGACCTGTGGCTCACTTGCAATCGCATGAGAGTGATCGTAGTCGCCACTGATGTTCACGCCATATTGTGTTGCTAGTGCCACTGATGCTCGCGCTGTAGAGCACTGCCGTCTTGGGCAGGATTCCATACCACTACCGTGCTGCTTCCGTCATACGGTGAGTGCGTACGTGTCGGTAGAAGAATGAACAGTGCAGATATTGGAACGGGTAGGAAGCAGCTGGCGGTCCTGTCTGCTGTGAGCGCGAAGTAGGCAGGTGAGGATATAGCGCACTGATTGGCCGACGTTAGGCCGGTCCGATCGCGAGGATTGCCTCGTGTTGTGGGCGATCAGGCGGGAGTCTCCTGATTCGCCGTAGGTGGGTCGTGCTGGTCGGGCTGGTTCGCTTTGACGGCGTCTGCATAGATTGGCCGTGGTTTCCAGGGGTCGGGGCCGTAGAGTGGGAAGGCCTCCTTGTCCGTCTCCTGCTGGTTGCCGTGGTGGATGATGCCGTGGTGTCCGCCTGTGGGCTGGGATGTTGCCGGCTTCCATTCGCGGGGCGTGTGGGATATACCCTGCTCTGTGTTGTGCTCCGTGATCATATGCGGATCGTAGCAGCCGTGTTGGTGCCGTCGATCGTGTGCTGCTAAGTCTGGTGTGATCCTTGGTGGTGTGCGGTGCCGCTCCCTTCGGTTCTGCCCGCGGTGGTCGTGGTCCACTGGGGCTGCACCAAGTTAGCGTTGTTGGCCTGTTCCCTTGCACTCGGCCCAGACGTCCGCGGTTGTCGGTCCAGGTGTCCGAGTTGGAGTGGTGCGGTCCCGAGGTGCCCCTCGGTAGGTGACAGCAGGTCGAGTACAGTCGGTGGGTCGGGTGTCGGCCGTCGATTCTGCTGATGCTGTGGCTCATCCTCGGGCAAAGGGGTCTGGTTGCTGATGAGCTCGACCATCTCGACCAATGCCTCGACTGCGATTTCCTTCTGGAGGTCGGTGAAAAGGAATGGCGTCGGCGTACATGTGAGGTTGTGTCGTATGGCTACTTTAATACCCATGAGAATGTTTTTCTTCTGCTGTAGCTCCTCTGCTTGCTCAGGAATGTTGTCGTGGCTGTGGCGTTTCGGGCAGCTCAGCATGTTATCCAGGTTGTTGTTGGCATAGTTGGCCAAGTCCCTTTCTCGCTGATTCATGTGGAAGGGGTGCGCGTCTCGCAGCCTTCGGACACGCGGCAGTTGTTGAGAGCTCCTTCCACGTACGCTATGATCTGGTCGTATTCGATGCGGAGGTCTGCGTCCGTTGTTGCGGTAGGCGATCGCCTCGTGGGTATGTGTCTTGGGCATCATGTGTTCGCGGTCGTACACGTCATTGCTGATCATGACGGTCAGGCGCTCGATGATGTCGTGCATGCGGTCTTTGGTCTTCAGACCTGTTGTGATGCCTGGAGGCAGGGGAGATGGGGTTCGCTCTGCGAGCTGGATGACCGCATCCCGGTTGCGCTTGGTATCGTCGTTGGCCTTCGGGGTCGTTGCGCCCCGGTTCGTCGTAGTTTGGCTCACTGCTGTCCCCTGGTTGCTATCGTTTTTTTCGCGGGGGGTTGGAGGTGGTTTTGCTGGTACCTCCTGCCATGGCTGGAGGGTGCCCGGCTGCTTGCTCTCGCTGCCGCATGTTGCTCCCACGGTGGTGGGGTGCACGGTGGGCGTAGGCGTCAGTATAGCCGGTGGAGCTGTGTAGCGTGGCGGGAGGTTCGCTACTTTCGTTGGTGGCGCTGATGTCATTGGTGTGACCGCCGATGGTGCTTGATGGTCTTTAGGCTGGGCACGTAGGTTGATGCTGGTAGCTGGTCCCTCGTGGCTGGAGAAAGCAGCGCCTCCCATGGTCGGGGCGGTCAACAGGTCAGGTAGTAGTGTCGTCACCGTCGGGTTTTGCTGTCCGGTCCTTGAGTCAACGGCATTCGTGCGGTCCGTGGTTGCAGTGCGCGGCTGTGCTGCGTGGATCTCTGTGATGATCATGAGTATCCCCTGCTGCGTGCCGAAGTTGTCGTATTGGTTGGATAGGAGTAGCCGCGTGAGGCGGCCGATGTCGGTGTCGGAGCGTTTCATGTCGGTCATGTCGCTGTCGCTCATGTAGTCAACTGCTTGCTTTAGGTGGTCTACGTTGGCCCTGAAGTCGGTGTCGTCGCGGTCCTTCGTGATGGCGGTGTCGAGAGAAGTAATGTCGACTGTGAAGGACCGAGCCTGAGG